CATGGTTATACTTTTCTGCTAGATGGTTAAGACCAAGATAAATCAAGACCTATATAGCTAAAAATGTAACTTTTGTATCTGACAAGGTCAGTCAAATCCCCTCCGGATTTACCCTGAAACCATGTAGAGCAGCTTGTAGAGCTTTTGCGTGTGTCAGCCATGAGGATGAGTCATAGCCACTGCTTGACTAATTTGCTCTCTGTGGAAGCCTGACAGAATGTTTTCTGTCTAGGTGTCTCTCCTTGGGCACACTATACATCATTGATCATGTTGCTCTGTGGCCCCCAATCCTCTTGATCAGAAACTTTGGAACATTACTGAGTTACAGGATGTTACAGCACAGGTTTGCGTATGTCCTGAGTCTTCACAGACCTTGAAGGGCTAGGGCCAAAATATTGGCTATCTTTGTAGCCCTTCTTTTTCTCTAATTTTTGGTCTGCATACTTAAGTTGTTAACCATCCAGAAGAGAGATTAATTATATTATTACCCTATAACAGAGGCAACTGAGCTCAACATCATTATCTTTCTGAATATCAAATGCCTTAGACATAACATGGAATAGGTATTTTCTAATAGTTTTTGATATTCTAAAATTTAAATCCCTGTAGAACGTGAAAAAACAATTACACATTTTTACACAAAACAAAAAAGGGGGATATAAATGGAAGACCATTTTGTAATGAAAAAAATATGTATCTCTATATACAAAATTCTATAGATATAAAGCTACTTTTAGTTCAATGAGAAGAAAGATTTGTACTAATAGTGTTTAGACAAGATATCACGTCTTCATCTTGAACTATGAATAACCATTACAATGACAACAATATGCAATGTATTAATTATTGTAACTGTCCTACTAACCTATTTTGAAACTGTCTCCTTGAAATTTCTTTCTCATTAAAATTAATAAAAAATAATAAAATTATAAGATCATATATGCTAACATGGTTGCCGAATTACATGTCCTTCACAATAAGTGATGATGAATGTCACAATGAGTGTGATTCAACCTTCACAAAGAAAAGAGGAGGGGCTGGGGAGATGGCTCAGTGGAATAAGCACTTGCCTGGCAAGTGCAAGGGCCTGAGTTCAATCCCCAGTTCCACCAAAACAAAACAAAACAAAACAAAACAAAACAAAACAAAACAAAACAAAACAAAACAAAACACACAAAGAAAAGATGGCATGAGTTGATTATAGCAGGCAAGTGGGTTTTAGTAAGGGAGCCAGCTATGGGGGTCAGAGTGTGAACAGAAGCCTTGGAATGCAAGTGATGTCTTCAGAGCTAAATAGGAGACAGGTGGAGAAATATTTTGGGTATATTTGTCTTCTCACTTTTATAATTGGGAGGATTTTAATCTTGAACTTAAAGTTAGACTCTATACACTTTTACATTGATTTTCAAAAATTGTTTTTGTGAAACTATGTAGCATAAATCTAGTCTCTTCCGTACGGTGGAGAGAAGTTGTTGACAGATAAGCATCATTCCTCTCACATCAAGAGCCTGAAATTTGCAGGATACTGTGGTCCTAAAAAGGTTCCACGTGACAATGTCAGATCCCCTCTCATTGTGGTAGTCTTTCTCTAGAAGCACTGTATTTTGTCAGAGTTCCTGTCCAGAAGCAGTCTCAGGAGGCAAACAGAATTTTGCAAGTAGGTTGAATTAATACAATTAACAACAGTAGCATGTATTCATAGCACAATTGTATGACTTTTTTTCTTTTTGTGTGTGTATTAGGTACAGGGTCTCACTACACAGCTTGGACTCGTAGTGGTCCTCCTGTTTTCAGCCTCCCCTGCACTGGGATTACAGGAGTGCACCACCATGCCTGGTCTCAGTGGCCAGCTCAGCACACCCCAGGGTTGGGTCCAGTGTGACATGTAGTACCAGGGATAGAACAATCACTGCTTAGGCAAGTGCTTAGACTGCTGAGTTGTCTTGCTGTAATCTGTTGTTTTTGATTGGTTAACTCCCAGTGTCGCTCCCAATGTTGGTTGCGTTTCCTTATCTAAGTCTCCCAGATCTTTCTAATGTGACTCACTCTCAGTCTATAGTCAAGTGACTGAATATTTTAAACAGTTGCCTATGGAGTTTGGGTCCTTGTTTCACTACTAGCACTTCCTCATAATTTTGTTGACACATGAAATTTTTTTATAGGGGAAAGATTTTCATTCCACAAATAGAATTAGGTTTAACTTGCTTTTTTTTGAAGGGTAATATGTAATTTGTGTTCACATATAAATTACCAAGCCTTTCTTTTTTTATTTCCTAAAGGTTTAGGCAATGGAGTGGTGGTAGTTACTGGAAAAGAGATAGGGGGTTAGAACAGAAAATTTAAAGGTTTTTCTTTTTATTTATTTATTTGGTACAGGGTCTTGCTATGCAGCTTAGGGCCAGCATGGCATGTGGTACTAGAGATTGAACCCGGTTCCTTGTGAATGTAGAGCTATCTCTCCAGCCCCTAAAAAAGGGAACTTTAATGGGTTGGGATTTTCCATGTAGGAGACATGAAGGGATCTAAAGTAATTGTAAAAGGGTTAGAAGGATGAAATCAAAGGTCTCTGTGGGCCTTGATAAATAAGTTTTGACTATTTCACATTTAATATTGTGTTATCCCAGATCATAGAAAGCTTATAATTAAGGTAATAAAGACAGTTAGTAGGAAAACAGTTTTTTCCTCTTTTGCTTCTTTTCTTTTCTTCTCTCTCTCTCTTTTTTTTTTTTTTTTTTTTTTTTTTTGGGCAGAACCAGGAGTTGAACTCAGGCCCTTGCACTTGCCAGGGAAGCACTTATTTCACTGAGCCATCTCCCCAGCCCCTTTTTTCTTCTCTTGAATTTATCTTCTGAATGCTTCTGCTGCTGTATTTCTTATTGTGAGATCATAATTAATTTGTATATACAGATACAGAATGGTCCTTCATTTGTATCCCCTTTTTTGTTTAGTTTTGTCAGAGATGGGTGTTCCATTGCCATTTAAATATTGTAGGTGTGTGAATTCAGCGAAATAATCCAATATATTTCAGTAGTCCACAATAGTAGCCAGTTATCTGTAGCACTGGCAATGTCAGAAGTTTTTGACTTGAGCCTTTTACAGCTCAGCATATTAGTATGGCTTTAGTTTTCATGCCTCTTTATTATACTTTTCTGCTGGATGGTTAAGACCAAGATAAAGCAAGACCTATATAACAAGAAGTGTAACTTTAGTATCTGCCAAGGTAAGTCACATCCCCTCAGGATTTACCCTGAAACCCTGCACCACAGTTTGTAGATCCTTTGTCAGTGTCAGCCATGTGGATGAGTCATGGCCATTGCTGGTAACAAGCCTTGTTTTGTCAACTTTTAGACAGACATTCCCTGAATGACTAACAATATATGCAGAGCTGAGACAGGATTTGACCCAGAGTTTTACAAAATGAAGGTCAAACTTTGTTCTGCTTTTAGTTACCTATTGAAAATCTGTGAACCCAAGTGAAGGGTCACAATATTTAGCAAAAATGCTTTTAGGTTCCTGATTACATCAAAAGAAAACACAAGACCCGTGCTTTCAGGGAGTAACATCTTTTTTTTTTAGGGAGTAACATCTTAAGGGTACAGGAATTTGTCCTCAGTCCCTATGGTGACCTCCGAGTATGTCATAATTATTAATGATTTAAATACAATCAAATTGACCCTAATTATGAATAAAAATACAATTAAGATTATTAAATGTTAATGTTATCTATATGTAATACCCAGTGAAACATTTATTCAATGTACTTGTAGAATATTGTTGAGTACAATATATGAGGCTGGCCAGGAAGCGTCATGTCCTGACATTCACAACAATCAACAAAGGGAAAAAAGGCTGAAGGATGTCAAGTCTTTCGTTGTCTGAAAACTGCAATTAGTTTGGATAAAAATCTAATTTCCTTTATTTTAAACCCTCTTACTAAATTTATAGGGTTGTCAGAGCATTTTATGTGAACAGCGCTCACAATCTTCCAATCTCAGCAGGCGATGGATCTTTCAATCTTTTTTCTCAGGCTTCCTAATAGGAGAGTTAATTGAAAGCAAAAATACAGCTCATATCTTTTTCTTCTTTTATTTCTCTTCTCCCTACTCTCCTGCCCCTTCATTCCCTTCTATCTTCTTCCTTTTCTATCTCCCAATTTCTTTCTTTTCTCTCTCTCCTCTCAGTCTCAATTAAATCCCTTCCCCCAAAAAACCTTCCTCAAAATTTGAACACATTCAGTTTCTTGATTTAGCAAAACAAAGACCCTTAATTGCTACACATTATAAAAATGTGACGTCTTAAGCCAAGCGAATTGCTTCCAAAGTGAACTTTTGTCACATAATGAATGAGTGACCCGAGTGAGAACTGGCTGGCAACAGAGATCCCCCCTCGCGTGTTTCTATCAGTGCTATTAAATACTTGAATTGAAAAAAAAAAAGAATAAGAGTGACATTCTATAAGAAGCAATATTTTTATTGGTTTATTTCATTTAACTCATGTATACATCTGAAACTGTCCTTCTCCCTGTTTTGTCAATAACTCTATTTGACACACTTATACAGCTTAGAATACTAAATTATATTGTCTTCTATTTTGACTTATACACTGCACTCAGTAAAATTTCATTAAATACATAGCATTAACTATACATTAAATATTTATCACTAGGAAATTTCCATAATAAATGTTTTCAGCTAGTTGTACTTAAATGATAGGTATCAAAAAATTGTGGAAACTTTTTCTGAGAGCAGGTCATCTTTCTATGATTTTTTAAAATTTATAGATTGTTATTACAATTGAAAATATTTAGATTACAACTTCTCTCTGCTCTTTGCCACCACCATAAAAGGTTGTGCCATTCTCCCTTGGAGCCAGCTGAGTATGGACCGAAATCTCCAGTAGCTGTGCTTCCGCTCTAGCAGCATTGAACAACAGTAGCCATGGCCCTGTGCTACCCCAGGGCCTCAGCAAGGGCCACAAGGTGACTAAGAATGTGAGCAAACTGAGGCACAGCCACCGTCGTGGATGCCTCACCAAACACACCAAGTTTGTGCGGGACATGATCTGGAAGGTGTGTGGCTTCGCCCCCTCTGAGCAGTGAGCCGTGGGGCTGCTCAAGATCTTCAAGGACAAGCATGTCCTCAAGTTTATCAAGCAAAGGGTGAGGATGCAATCCCTGCCAAGAGGAAGCATGAGGAGCTGAACAACGTGCTGGCTGCCATGAGGAAGGCAGCTGCCAAGAAGGATGGAGCCCCTCTGGAATAAAGCTCAGCAGGAAAAAAAAAAAAAAAGTTAAATAGGTAAGACGTTCACATGGCTAGAACAAGAACTCTATTAGTACCAAACTGTATGCTCCTCCCTAAACTTTATGTTGGGCCCTAAAAGAATTAGCAGAGAAATTCACTGCATACACAATCATGCATGTATAAATTTCCTATTCTCCAGGCTGTGGAGGAAAAGGCACTTTTCTCTACTGTTGATGGGAGTGTAGACTGGTGCAACCACTGTGGAATCAGTTTGGAGAGTCCTCAAAAAGAAAAAAACCAAAAATCCCCACAGAAACAATAAAAACCTAGACTAGAGGTTCCATTCCAGTCAGCTGTCCCTTCTTCTTCACATCTTTCTGAAAGAATTAAAAAGTATCATAACCACAGTGAAATCTGCACCCTCATGTTTTTAGTGGCACAGTTCATAATAGCTAAGTCTTGGCAACAGCCCAAATGCTGATCAGCAGATGAATGGATAAAGATAATGTCTGGTTTTTCGTATACCATAGAATTCTACTCTGCCTTAAAGAAGGATAAGCTTGAGACATTCCATAATGATGCACACGGAAATCACACTTTTAAGTGAAATAAACTGGACACACATACAAATACTGTATTATTTTTCTATTGTGAGAAACCAAAAGTGAAAATAGGGCCCAAAATGTTAGTAGGTATTGTGAAAAGAAAATGTTCTAATGTGAAAGGGAACTAGGGTGGGGAGGTAGGAAGGAAAGAACGGAAAAAGAAAAAAAGAAGATAAGAAAAAAATGGAAATAAATCCTTTGTAAATAAGAAGAGGAAGAGTGGTTGAAGGGGGCAGAGTGGCGAGAAAAAGAACCAAGTGGTATCCCGTAGAGGTACAAACTACCTACGATGTGTGTGATCATTATGTAGACCTAAAATGCAGCAATATGATTAATTAATTTAAAGAAATAAAATAAAACTTCCTGTCCTCTTTAAGATAATATAAAACAGGAGAGGGCCAGAAGGGAAAAGGGATGTAAAAGGAATTAAGATGTGTTTTGTGTGTGTGTCAGCTCCTCATGATGTGTGTGGTCCTTATGAGCTATGAACATGTACTAATAAAAAACAAAAATCAGTAAAATGAATTCATTAATTAATTAAATAGCAACTTCTTTTCCCCCCTGGCCTCTAGCACTCTCAAGTTATACTATAAATAAAGACCAACGGCCAAAAGTGAGTAAACTGCTAGAATAAAAGGAGTTCTTATAA